AATTGGTGCCCACGGTTTGAAAGCCGCAACAGCGCGAAAATACAAACTTTAAAGTTTCTCCAAGGCAAGACACATTTACCACAAATAACGCCTGAAATCGAGAATTTCGTCACTTTGGCTATCGAAAGAAATTAACTCAATTTTTGGCTTCAGTTCTCCTTTAAGTGATTCTATTTATGAAAAAAAAAACAAAAAAACAAACGGTGTCTTGGAGGTATACATGCCATGTGCTTGAGACGCGCCGACTGATATCAATTGGAATTTAAGCAACTACTCACTGCATAAATTTAATAATATTTGTGTCGCGACAGGGAAGCTGAGTTAAATGAGGAAACGAAATTTGAGAGCCACTGTTTACAAGCAGAAAGAGATATCATAATGGTAGTGCGGGTGACAGCTGTGTTTCTATTGTTTGTCCTGACATGGAAAAAAATATAATTATCCAATTAAAGAAGTTGCGTCTTACGTTCGCATTTAATGTGTAACAAACGTCTTATTGCTCCGTTTTCAGCCCAGGATACCAGGGAACAAACCGCTTTCTGCGTTATGCATTCTGTTTCCATATGTCTTCGTCTATTGTTGCTCTGCTTCCTGATACCCAGCGCTGTCAGATCACAAGGTTAGTTTCAGTATAACTCAAGATCATTAGTCATAAGTCCTTTAACTAAGTAAAGGGATTCTTCATATCTTCTTACGACCGAGTCTTTACTTACACCAATTCTTCATAACTCGGTTCCACAAAAGTGTCCCTGGGAAGTAGGGCTAAAGTTTAGAGTTATCAACAGGGAGCGAAAACTTTACATTCCATTTTCGAACATCTAATTTTGCATTGGAATATTTTCCAACTAAGCATTCATGATTTCAAAGCGTCCCGAGAATTTCCTTCGCAAAAATCAAAAGACATCACTCATCTTCCTCCTAACATGTCACCTGCTGCTTTTTTCAGTCAATGAAGAACCGCGGCGTTAGTTTTTCAAACTCTGCTTTGCAATGTTTAGGGAAAGTAAATCCATAGTTTATTGTTTTCAAGCGAAGGAAAATTCAAGTTCGAAAATTAAGCAGGCACAGTCAAGGTCTGCTCCATCTAGCAAGAATGTAGCTAGGAATGGAGCTTTGTTTAAATTATAATTGATTATCAATGCTAAGAAAACTTTCCCTTATGATACCATTTGTTAAGCAATGTTTATCATTTAACTGTATAGAAATACAAATAGCACAACAGAGTAAAAGCAAAAAAGGTTCGCTAGATCGATTCGTGATTTTGAAGATAAGGAATTTATATATATTTTTTATTTTCTATTTTTATTATCGGAACTGATCCCGTTTATCAAAACACAGTAAGGACAATGTGATTACTTGTAGCAGTGAGTTAAGAAAATAGCCGATCTTGAATTCAAATGAAACTGTTTTTAATTAAAAAATAAAAATGGAATAATATTTAAAATAAAAAAACGTCATACACCAACCTTTGCGGTCTTTCTAACTCATTATTGTTATTATTAATATTATTTTGTTATAACTTTTTCTTTACCATGGATGGTTAATAAATGTTATACCAAATAAAATTCCTCGCCAGAACCAAACTAAGAATTGTTCGTAGGATATTTGACAAGTATTAGTTAGCCAGCTGTTTTACTCATGTTCGAGCTGAAATATTTACAACACATTATTGTTATAGGTCTGTATATCGTTTAGTATGCGCGAATTCATAACGGCGAAGAATGCATTACGCATATATGTTATAGGCCTTAACCATATAGGTTATATACCTTACACATATAGGTCATAATTTTTGCAAAGTTCCCTCGTCAAAATTTTTTTTGGTTTTAATGTATCCGTAACTGACATTAACATTGTGGGACTCAATCAAAAAATTCTTTATTCCATTAATCATCTCGTAAAACGTTGTTTCTAGGTACAGTTTATCCAAGTACGGACGTTTAATTTGTTTTCATGGCACAGAAATTATTCTTTTGGATCGAAGAACAAATTTGGAAAAGTTGGTCGGTTATTTTTAACAAGATGACAGCATTATGAGTATGAGGGATAGCAGGTGTCTTCTAGATATTCTTATAATGCGCTTTAGACGACTGCATGGCTAGCCGACTGTCATCAGTTAATCTTTATATCCCGTCAGAGAACAGATACATAATTTTATTATAGTGCACAAGCTCGGTTCAATATAAGCTAATAACAGAGTAACTAGCGCTGTGTATGAATAAAGGAAGTCTAAGTCACACGTACAAATTTCACAGCCATTGGTTTACAAGTAGATAGAATAAGCAACATGATATGGCGCTTGTGACAGCTGTCTCAAAATTCTCGTGATATGGAAACAATATTATTCATCAAGTAGTCGACCTGCATTATAAGTTTAGCAGGTCGCAAAAGTCTGAGAGCTCCTTTTTCAGTGAACAACAAAAGGGAACTTTTCTGGCTGCGTTCAGCACCATGTATTCCACTTTTATCCGTCTCCTTGGGTTGGAAATTTCTCTTACGATATCAATGGATGTTAGATCACAAGGTTAGTTTTAGTAGTAATCGTGAGGCATGGTAAGGAATTATCTTTTTACTGACGAGTAAATCACGGTCCTCAGCGCGTCACATTTATTTTAGCCTAGGCCGTTTCTAAAATTTTACTTTGGAATGTAAACATTCATTGGGTCAGTTAGTTCGATTGGACCAACATTGATGTATCGAAAGAAACAGCGGGTCTATTTCTTTAAGTCTAGCCATAGGGATAGGTAACACTTTAAAGATGGATCCATTTCCTTCCTTTACATCTGCATTTTATTTGACAGCCATAATATTAAACTTGCTTAAGAACTTCTGGCCAAAAGATTGAACACCATTATTCATAATTCAGGCTCAGTTTTCAAATAATTATGCAATATTGGCGTTAATATGAAAAGCGGGGCAGTTAAACAAACATATCTAGAGTCTATGTCGCTTAATTTGACATTTTTCTCTTCAAAAACGCAAATAGCCTATAGGTAAACATTCATAAATACGCCAGGTCTTCTTTTATAGTTTCGAAGCTTTCAAAGCAATCTATGGTAAAGGTAGCTGGTCTCGTATATTCCAACATAGTAGTGAACATCGAGATTTATTGCTTAAGTCTTGAAAATAGCAAAAAATTTACTGAAAAAATTTTGTACCGTGCAAAAAATAGATAAAGTAGATAAACTAAAATAATACAAATAAGGAAAAAAAAAAGACAAAGAAAGATATTAAAAAGTTAACAAAAAACCAAATTAGAACAAAACAATTACAAATTGCCAGTGCGAAATGATTTTAAATAGCTCCCATATTCCCCTAAAGCGCTCAATTTATCAATTATTTCCATTTCAAAGACTTTTGCGTCGCAGATCAGTGTCGTATTTTGGAATTCAGCCCTGAAAAAGCATTTGAAGAGAAACGTCTTATTCAACACACGATTCGCATCGTGGAAGTAGCGGATCCCAGGTTCTGTGAGAACTTGTGTTATATGGAACCCGACTGTGTCAGCATTAATCTTGATAAACGAGAGGATAGACATGGAAACTACAAATGTGAACTGAATAATGTCACTCACGAAGGACACGAACATCAGTTGGAGGATCGTGAAGGTTTTTTCTACCATGCTGCTGAGGTAAATATCTTTTTTTCAATTCACACGTTTTTAAGAAAATATCTTTTTCTCCCTTGACATTTCTGCTTAAATGATTTATTAAAATTAAAACTCAGGCAGTGGCTTTCTCATTTAAAGGAATGCTTTGTTCTAGTTTCGGCCATGACCATGTTAATAACGATGACGTTGAAAATTACAAAGACGACAACGATTTTAATGAGCAGGACTCATCATAATTATGACGTCCATATTGACGATGCAGAATTGACGATGCAGAAGACGAAGACGAGGCCAAAGATGATGACGATGACAATGACAAAAATTATGACCAAAATAATGACAATGTTGATGATGATGCTTTCAATGTCAGAGCAACTGTGTCAAAAGCCCTTGCAAGAATAACGCAAGATGTCAAAGTGGATTTACCGACAAAGGTTATCGCTGTATTTGTCGACCTGGATTCAATGGTCAAAGATGCAGTGAAGGTAAAGAAAGCCCTCATGTCAGTCTTTTGAGAAAATCAGTGAAGAAGAGACACAAAAAGCTTTTTTGTAAGGTTTATTGTTGACAGCTTGGTTTAATCTGACTATCTTTTGATATCTTTCTGAGCTATTTGGGAGGGGGGGAGGGGGGACGGAGACGGTTAAACCAAAATTGGTTACATCAGTAACACGGAAGCAGTTGTCCAACTGTAACTCTACTTAAGGGAAATAGTGAAAGCATGACTGCTTCGCAGTTTAATACCTTCTGTGGCTGACAGAGTTGCTGGAATATTTTTGGTACAACTTAGTTACTTTATACATATCAATTAGACAAGTAAAGGGAAACAAACTTTTTTTGCATATTAGAAAGGAATGGAACCGCCAGTATGTAAAGCAGCCCTTCTCGAAAATATACTATATATATATATTGCTGTTGTTGTTGTTCGTTGGTTGGTTGGTTTATTCCGTAGTAATATGAAATTTCATTTATTGCTGTTTTTTAGACATAGATGAATGTGTCAGAGGTTTACATAATTGCAGTCTTAATGCCTATTGCAACAACACTAAAGGGTCTTACAACTGTACGTGTAAACCTGGATTCACTGGAAATGGACGAGAATGCGAAGGTAATCGCTTGGGTTAAATAAATATATATCTTATTAGACGTCGTAGTATGTAGTATCGCCAAAGATACTTCTAAAACGAATCCAAAGAAATTTGAAGTCGTATCTCCGAATCCTGAAAATGACCTCGTTGACAAATATAAAGCAAGTGTTTGATTTTTCTCGGCCACTTTTGAAATCAAGCGCGCACTCACAGTTTAGAACAGATACCTGAGCATTAAAATCTCTGTTGCGACTTGTTCAGGAAATAAAGAAGCAGTAGGCTCGCTGATTGCTCAAAGACGCTAAGGCTTTTGTAAGCACCTTTAAAGTGGCAACTTGTTACAAGCATTAACGGCAATACTGGATGGAAATCTTATTAGAGATACTACCCTCCCCCTCCCTCCAAAAAAAAAAGCAAAACGAAATAAAGCAAAACAAAACAAAAAACAAAACAAAAAAAACAAACAATAACAACAACAAAAACAACATCTGATAAAAAGACTAACCATTAATCGAAAGGAACTCATAAACCTTTTAATAAAAGATCCCTAACTCCTAACTCCCAACTCTTCCTGGGAATTACTTCTTGTAAAGAGTTCTATGACAAGTGCATGTAAGTGAAAAAGACGCATTTTGTTAAAAATTAAACGCTAGCTAATGGACACTGTCTTCTTAGGAAAAAAAAGATTCACATGTATCTGCCTATTCATTCATTTTCTTGCATTTATTTCCTCTTATAACTCTATATATTCACTTAAAACACTAACAAAACACTAACACTAAAACACTAACCATCAATCGAAAGGAACTCGTAAACCTTTTAATAAAAGATCCTTTTTAATTCTTCCTAGGAATTACTTCGTGTAAAGAGTTCTATGATAAGGGCAAGTAAGTAAAAACGGAAAGTGATTGAAGACACATTTTATTAAACGCTAGCTAATGGACACTGCCATCTTAGGAAAAAAAAAGATTTACATGTATTTGCTTATTCATTCCTTTTCTTGCATTTGTTTCCTCTTATAACTCTATATATTCACTTATCTCTACTTGTTTTTATTTTATTGCGTATCTATTTATTCATTTCACATTTTTGACGTTATAGTTGTCTCAGCTATTTTTCTCACTACTAGTCTTATTAACGCTATGATTGTTATCATCATCCTTATCTCCACAACTTTTTTATATGTTATTATACTTTTAATGCAGGAAGGCCAATATGAGCATTGTGGTTACTCTCCTTATTGATTCCCAACCAGTCCCCGTTCTTTGTCACCTAGGAAATTTTGGATGTGGAGATGGAGGATGGACGCCGGTTATGAAGATTGACGGCAGAAATGTGCATATTTTACAGTCCAAATTATTTTACACATGTTATTAATAAGTGAGCTGCTGAAAATATAACAGAGATGATAACGAACTAGATTTAAAGATTGGAAATATCCCTTTTTGACGGAAAATAAACGCCTTTTTCTAGTATCGAGGAGCGCCCCAATTATTCCGTTCTCCTCTGCAAATAAAACACACTTTTTAGACTAACACACCCTTTCCCTTCAGTAATGGTGATAAGTCGTCAATGCTTTGTAATCATAACGCATATTTACCAAAAATTCTGATCTAATTCAACTTCTACATCCTATGTAACAATAATTTTATACTACATAATTTATCTGAATCAAGTGAATTGAACAATGCCTCTATTTGAAGAAAAACCTCTCCATGAAGCGTGAAATAGATGTTTAATTTGTGGTTAATGTGACGAATGTCTTCGAAGAAATTAAAGAAGACGATTTTTCTTTTTTATTTCACTTCAGACAACCTTTCATTACAACAAACCTTACTGGAGTAATTACGGGGAATTTAACCCCACTGGGGGACAAACTGGTTTTGACGAACAGGAAACAAAGCTACCTACATACTGGAATACATCCTTCTCCCAGATCTGTCTCGGTATGAAGATCGATCGACAGCTCAGGTTCATAGTCATCAAGAAGCAGGCTGACTCTCTGTTCTCACTGATCGCTGACGGGAAATATCGCAATACATCACTGGGCCACGACACGTGGAAGTCACTGATTGGCTCTGATGCCTCTTTGGAACGGAACTGTACCAAGGAAGGTTTCAATGCTAATTGCGGTGGGACAATAAGCTCAAAGGCCAGAATTGGCATTGTTAGCAACATCAAAAACAACTGTTCCACTTGCAATTCAAGGGTTGGATTTGGCACTGGAGGGTGGCCTTTTTACTCGATTTCGTGCGGTAACACAGCAAGTTCCGCCTCAGGAAATGGAAAATTGAGCATTACCGCCATTGGATACATCTTAGTGCATTAAAACAATAACAACACAACAAACGAATCAGTTTACTCGTCAAGATGCACCATAATTTTCAGCTCGAGCTCAGCTTTGTGTTGCAGGGTTGTTATAATTTGATCACGGTTTTTTAAAAAAGATAATAATAATTTTGACAGACAATAACTATAACACAATCCGTCATACAGCACAAGCTCCGTGAGAATGAATAAAAAAAGTGAAGCGGCATAGTTAAAAATAAATAAATAATAATAATAATAACGGATTCATATAATACATGACAACATCATTACAGTGTCTCGATCCAATTAATCCTAAGATAATTTAATATTACGAGCCAGACTTCAGTTATTCTGCATTCAGTCCAATCTTCATTAGGTTATATCGCTGGGGCCAATTGACCCACCATCGCACGTGCGTATCCTTTGCTGATCTCCCCAGAAATATCAGAGGTATAAGAACATAACTTGTACGCTAACGCTATGCCACGCAATTTTTCAATATGTGAATCTCTATGAAGAAACATCAGTATGTTGCGTAATCTAATACAATAAAACTTTCCTTCCTTACACCGCTTGCATGCTAGTATGTCTTCGACATCTCGGGGTGCTTGCTTGGGTTAGGAACGAATCTAATATCTTTCCTGGTCCCATTGAAGAGACCTCTGGCTCGGATCTTACACCCACCTTACCTGTTTCCCGCTGACGCCATCCCCTTTTTTTTCCACTCTATTAAGTCATACACACATCTAAATAATCCTTCCCCAGGATCCCACAGCTAGTCACTAATAGTTAAATGTTAAGTTCCAAAACGTAAAAGGAAAAAAGGAAGAAGAAAAACAAACAGTTAGATAGGTACTTCAATCAGATAGAGAAGACTGAATAACTTCGCTAGAGGGCAGACTGTACACCATCACTAAAGACCATCAGTAAAAAGTCTTAAGCTTAAGTTGATGTCATCGATTATGTGGGAATAAGATCACGAATACCGTTTTCTTTTTGAAACTTAGTAAATCTACTTTAGAGCGAGCATTCTTCAATACTCTCTAATGCTCTTAGGACATATCAACATTCAAAAATATTAATCTACACAAACGAAGCGAAAAACGCAAGAATTTCTTGTGTTTACCGCGTGGTTGATTCACCTTACTTGAATTGTTGTTTACTAGTGTTTACCACCAGAAATTACCACCAGCGAGGCTTTGTGCTGAAAATGTTGAAAATTGTTCGATTTAAACCAAAATCTTCCATAAAACAACACTTTTGGTAAATATTGACGCCTAAAAATAATATTTACCACTCTAAAGAATTGTCCCCTACGTCGAAAAGCCTCATTGAAGTGAAAAAAGATCACTCTTCTTTTCCAGTCATGATTTGCATTGCGTTAGGGAATGATGTATCGTTAGCTCTAGAGCTATTTGGTCGGTTCAAAGAGCTACAATCTCATTTTTTTAAAGTATTGTTTACCATAATTTCTTTTCGTTTTGAGCTCTAAAAGATCTTTCTGTTCGTGATGAAAAAAAAAAAAAAAAACCTTAAAACTTTTGAGCACTCGTGGCTAAACTCGACGGGTACTTGCCGTAGAAATGGACGAAACTGCACGCGTCATGTTATAAATGCAGTGTCGTGCGTACATAAAGATTTTTACAATAGAAGCCCTTAGGAAATAGGTGTACTTGCGCCCGCGATATGTTATACTATCATATTATATCGTCGACTCGAACATTTAAAGTTGCTCTCCTAGGTTCAAATATCCAAGCAGAGCAAGAAAAAAGTGGTACTTTTTTCGATATAGGGTTGTTTTAGAAAATTTGGTCACCATTCTTAACGAAATAAGGGTAACGTGGATATGGAAAAAAGAGGACGTGTAAACCTGTTAGACTCTTATGACGGCGACATGAATGCTCGACTGTGAATTTCTCGCAGAACTAAAGATAATCTACAGAACTTGATTATAATACAGTAGTAGGACTAGTTTGCTTAACAATGGTACTGATAGGTGTCCGGCAATTCCCGAAGAACTCAACGATATATCGTGGCCTGGCAATTGCGATCTATCGCCGATATATCCAACTAAAATATCGCTCAAATTTCGGCGATAAATCGGGATTATCGCAATCATAGGCGTACGCTGTGTCACCTCACTGCTGCAGCTTAAAACTAAGTCGACCTTCAAGAACGTTCACCTTAACAATACCAACCGTTATAAAACCAAATATTTACATAGGCAATCCTATAACCAATCAGTTCTATAAGGAGAAAACTGCTGAGTCATGGAAAAAGTTTTGACAGCCGTCGGTTTACAATTGAGTTGAATTTGCATCTTGGCATATTACTGACAGATTACAGCCGAATTTCGATTGTCTGGAAGTTAGTCTGATTTGGGAAACGATTATTTATTTAAGACGTCGCAACTAAGGCACACATTGAAATGATCCAAAATATATACGAACTTTGTAGTCAGTGCTCGACACAAGAGAATTCCTCCAGACAAGCTCTGTATAATGTATTTTGTTTCTATCTGCCTTCTTTCTTTGGAACTCTGTTTATAGTTACCAGGGCAGTCAGATCACAAGGTTTGCTTCAGTATAACCCATTAATCATAGCAAGAAATTATTCATTTGTACAAAAGATAGTACTTTAGCTGACTCTTCCCCTCTAGTTTCGAGTGAGTTATTATAATTATAATCCTGTAAAAAGGATTTTCCGAAAAATGTCGAAAGTTCCTAATTATGACCCAATTAGTAAACATCTACAGCCACGTACAAACAAAATAGTGATAAATTTGAACTTATTTTCAATTAGGTAAAACGTAAAATATGTATTCCATTTTCGTGGTGTTAAAAGCGTTAGTAGCAGCGTTTTGTGAAGTAAATGTGATTTAAATCTAAAAACCGTCACTTTTTTTCTTCGTTGAACTTTCTTTTCCCGTTTGTGCCAACCAATAATGCTTTCCAAATACTCTTTAACGAATAATTATGCAATGAAATCCATTGCTCTCCGATGCTCCAAATAGGAGAGCGCAAAAGTTAGGCAGGCATAATCAAGATTTATGGATTGATTTCAAACAGTACTCGGACGAGGAACACATTTGATACATAAAATTCATACATTCTTCCTCTTTCTCAAGTTTGATGTTATGAATTTTGTTTTGTTTTATTTTGTCTTTTTTTATCAACAGGCACCAGGAAGGGCACAAATAAGTTTAACGGTCCAGCAAATCTAGGGAATTCCACTGAAGGAAATGCGATAAATCTTTCTTGAAAGACCCTTATTTTCTTTGCCGCAAAACATTACGTAATGGAATAAAACCTCGCTAAGATCTATATCTGAGCTTACGTAAACTTTCGAATTTGTCGCGATCTGTCGCCTTTTGGCAATCTTTCCCACAATGTTTTCTTTTCGTTCGACCTGTTTTTCACATAAAAACTGTATTGTGTTAAACTGTTTTTAACACACTTTTTCAGATAACAATCAGGTGATCGTATCGAGCCACCATGTTTGTTTTGCATGTTGACACTTGGAAAGCTTGCGCTATATTCGTACCCAGATCTCCCGCTGTCAAAAACCATATGGAGCCTCCTTAAATGGTCGTTCAACTGTTTGATCTTCAAAACAACTTCGATTGTCTCGCATCTTCACCAATGATAACAACACTTTAAGAGAACTTCTTCAGTTTACAACTGACTAACAAATCATGTACAACTGTTCAACCGTTGGCAAACGCACATTTAATTGTGCCACAAAAAAGTAAAGTACTCGATACAGAGGAAATAGGCAAATGGCAAGAAGGCAAAACTACGTTCTCTAATTTATGACATCAAATAACAGAGTTTACGGCTTAAGAGGAGGCCGCCTGAGAAGCATATATGATGTTGTAGCTGTTGCTGATGTGTTTGTTGCTGTTGTTTGACTCCATTTTTTTTTTAATGACAGACATCGATGAATCACGGGACGAAATCACATGTTTCCGTATTTCTGAAACGTGGCGGAGACATGCAACTCCGTGTTTCCGTTATGTTTGACATGCACAAAAAGTGGTCCGGTTCCGTTGTATACGCAGCAACGGAAACGCGAGAAAACGTCACGAAACCGGTAACGGAAACACAGGTTATCCGTCGTGTTTCCAGAACGGTTTAACATGTTTCTGCCACGTTTCCGTTTACGGATTCTTTTAATTTCGTCCTGTGAATGTGCCCTAAGGTTACACAAATGCAGTTCGATGGCATATTGCATCAATATGAAAGGCTCGTACCACTTTACATGTAAGCCTAGACTTTATGGAAATGGCCCGAGAATGCAAAGATAAATGTTTCGGTCAAGAAATCATAATAGAAATCATTATTAGGTCTTTTCCCATTGAAGAGATCGCACTTGGCTTAAGATGGTGCTTTCTAATGTGGTCGTTGCTGCCGTTTCTTTCCATTAGCCGGGTGGTATAGAAATGCGAATATTTTTAGGTGGTAATATAAAGTCAAGGGGATTTTTCTTTTCCGCTTCTTTTTTGTTTGTTTGTTTGTTTGTTTTTTTGGTTTGCTTTTTTTCCTTTTCTCTCTTTTGGTTTGTTTCTGTGTTCCTGAAAACGCTGTTCGCAAACCAAATGGGCAGAGTGATCTATCAACGCTGCTTAACCGTAAACTTATGATAGTCGCCTTTGAAATAAAACTTTCACCAGGCTTGAAATCCCAACTGGATTAAAATTTTGTTTCTAACCTGGACGACCTAAATGGAATTATAGCAGGAAGGCCGTTAAAAAATAATCGACAAGTCTTAGAGTCAATCTAATAGTGTAATAAATAGAGTATACTAAAATTCAACAGAGGTAAGTTTTAAATTCTACTAGATAAAAATTGCAGGAGCTTCGACTTTTAAGGAAATCCATGAAAACGAAATGTAGGTAGAATTTAATCCTCATGATAATTCCCAAAAATATTAAATAGTGTAGCGTACATGCCATTGGTCCTTGCTCGTCATGCCAGCCAATGTACTCGAATTTCAATCCATGCTTGCAATCTCCCTTTAGAGCTTACTCATACAAGATAAGAGACAGTGTGCTTCCAGAAAACTGTTTCTTTCTAGGTAGAGCTTATGTAT